AAATTTTTTTTTTAAAAAAAAAGTTTTTAAATTCTTTTAATTTAAAGGTCTTTTTCCTTTTCAAAAAAAAAAAAAAAAAAAAAAACCTCTAGTAACAGTCAGCAGCACTCTTTATGTTACGTACACATCTATACTTCTAATTTTGAGGTGGACATAAAGACTAAAAAGTGGTAGAGGCTTCAAGTTTAGGCAAGTTATCAGCCAGCTGCACACTGAGACTGACGAGGTAAGAACTGCTTCTTTCAAAATAAGAGTCTCAAAAATAGGCGAGATGTCAAGTTTGAAGCACTCACCTTGTCATCTAATTCCAGATCAGATGAGAGGAGATATTTAAGTGCTCTAAAATTTCTTTTTGTTTGTTTCACAAAGCAGATTTTTTTTGTCCTAGAGTTGCTAATTTACACAGTAGCTGAGAGTAAATGTGGCGATAGTCTGCCTCTGTCCTGTTTTTTTTTTAGACCAGACTTTTGAACTTTAGTTTAACTGGATGGGCAGGACCATGAAGGTGTGGATGTTTTCTTTGTGTTTCCTAACAGTGCGACACGTCAGCTGACTGGAAAGTGAACGGAGCCGGTTTTCATCACAGCCACCAGCATGGCTTTGGCCTTTTGAACGCATGGAGACTAGTTAATGCTGCCAAGGTACATACACACTGTAAATTCACTTTTTTTTTTTCCCCCCCAAACATTTTGCCACCAGAAGTCAACCTAAATATTCCTGCGTTGTGTCTCAGGTGTGGGAGTCGGTGCCTTTCCTCGTGTCCTATCAGAGCTCGGTCATAAAGGAGGACGTTTCCGTTTCCACTCATACGGGCGTCTTGATCCGCACCTGGAATGGTAGGGTTTTTATTTTTTCCCTCTTCTCTCTCGCTCTGTGTCGCTGCCTCAGCTCTATGAAGGACAGTTGCTTGTCGAATTTAAACATTGCTCTCCATAACAGAGCCATCCCTCCCTCCCTGCATGCCTGCTGCTCAGGCTGCCTGTCCTTATTAGGTAATGTTCAGCAGTTTGTGAGTTTTGCTTTTGTTATTCTCCCCCCCACCCCTTTTTTTTAAATTTAGTTCGTTTTAGAATTTCTCCCCAGATCTCCTTTTTTTTTATGTAAAATCTCTGTAGATCCTCTTCCTCTCTCAAACCTTTCCATGCTGAGTCTCTCGTATTCAGAGCCCTCTGCATATAATCCCTCTAACACTTTTTTTTTTTTTTTTTTTCCACAACTGGTTGTTGAAATGACCTCATACAAGTAGAAACATTTCCCTCTTCCTCCGCCTGATCCTGTCCTCCCTCAGACTTTATCGACCTTCTTTTATTGCCTCATTGCAGTTAATCATACGACCACAGACGGGTCTGTGTACATTTGGTCTCATGCAACAATGTCTTCTTGAAAAAGCTGCTGGTTTTTACAGAGCAAACTCCCAAAGAATGTGAGGAATTATTTTCTCAACTCACTTTAACTCATGTTGTTCTGCGAACCCGTCGTCGTTCTGTTTCGGTCGAATTCCCTGATGAGCTCTTTGTAACAGAATGTGGCTGGATCTGCTTTGGACCCCGTTCAGTGTTTTGGCAGCCTTGCTGACTGATTCATTGTCCATTAGGCCGGTCATATGTTCTGCTTCCTGCGTGAACAGCTTTCCATTTCAAAGCAAGGCTTACTCATTACTTAGAGTTGATTCTGATGCCTGGAAAGAGCAATTACTCGAAATAGAGTGCTGGAAATATTGCCTCCAAATGGAATATGAAGCACAAAATATTTAAGCAAAAATTAAATAAGACAGACCGTCGCTCTTGGCCACTCTGCAAAACAGGACAGACAAGACAGCATGAATTTTAAGATGATTGTGTGTTGGATTGGATCATTTTAGACAAATATAAAAGTTGAAAACAAAATCTAGGCTGGTTAAGGTGAGGAAGAAGATAAAGAAATCTCTTCTGCATCATTAGATCATCTCCATAACAACCATTGGACACTTTCTCTCCATGCAAATTAGTGGCTTAGATTAAAATAAGATCATTTATTGTCCATTAATTGCTGATTAAATTGAAGTTTCTCTTCAAAACTTGGCAAAAAAAATTACAAATGAATCTTAAAATGCACAAAATACTTCAGGTTTTATGATGTGTGATTTTTTTTTAAAGATACAAATGCATTTATTTATAGGAGCAGCATTTTTTAAAAGCAATATAACTCCATAAGCCTCTGATGCCAGAAAAATAACCTTTTCTGTCCCTCCATCTGGAGAGTGAAGGTTCTTGAACTCGACTGGGATTTAAACTGGAACTGTGTGCTTTGCTCACACGAGACTGAGGTTGAGCCTTTCTGCAACAAGCCGTCACGGCGATTTTGAAGCGAAATGAAGGATGAATATGTGAAAAAGCTCCATCCTAAGAAAACATTGTTATTTAGTTCGGTTTAACGTTCCTCTCCTTCAGTCCCTTTGCGATTCTCCCTGCCCTAGGGATATGTGCATCTCTGCATGGTCACGATGCACTGTCGCTTATTAGTAATCAGACCGAAGGAAATGATGGGAAATTACCAGGCAGCCACTCTGAGCGGCTGCACTGTGGTCAGAGGACTCGGTGATAAGTGCTTCAAAGACAGATAACAGAGGAGAAATCCAGAGTGAGACGGGAAACTGCAGCAGGGTTTATCACATTATTAGAGAGTTACAGATGTGTTTCAATTACACTAATGAAGGGGTAATAAGTAACACTGACATGATGCATATAAAGCATTTAGAAAAATGTGTCTAATACGTCTAATCATTTTATTATGAGTGCAGCTGTATTTTTGTAAAAGTGGGTGTCTACAGGTTTCGTACGTACTCTTTGAACATTTTCACATTTGTCACAACTACAAACTTTAAAGGGGTGGTATTATGTATTTTCCAGGCACATAGTGCCGTTTTATGACACAACCAAGCAAAAACGTTACAAAAATGCTATATAAAAAAAGAACCTGAAGAGAAATTTGAATTCGTAATATGATGCCTTGACATAGGGCCTCTGTCTCTTTAAGAAGCTAGTACTCTCTCTTCAGCAAGTCATCACAACAATGCTTCTCATTATGCCATTTGCAACCGTTCTTAGGAGCGCAGGACTGAGAAGCAGATTCAGTAATGAGCTCACCAGTTATGCAGTTCCACCAGGTGTTCGCTAAGTGCTGCTGCCGCTAGTCTGTTGGAGTTGAGCTTTTTTTATGAGTTGCACCATCGAATGGATGTCTTGAGAGATTTAAGAATTTTTCAACATGCATGAAAGAATCAAAGCAGCACTCCAAGTATGTTTTTGATGAGAAAATGACATTAAAACGTGATTTAATCTCAAAACGGTTGATGTTGCACAATACCCTTCTAGGTTGTATTTCACTGGGATTTCATGTGATAGACCAACACAAAGTGGTGAATTCAGTAGTGGATATTGTTGAGGGAATGAATATTTTTGCATATCACATTTTCCTGCAAGCCATGTATAATCTGATCTGCCTTTTGTCTCAAGTTTGTGTTGTTCAATTACATAAAATCCTGATATTTGTAGTGTGTAATGTGACATAATTCTTCGTGTCTGAATACTTTTGCAATCCACTGCACATTTTTCCCCAAATATAATGAAGATCGCATTATTTTTATACATCTCTTGCTGTGCCCTAAAGACATTTAATTGAAGTTGCACATTACCCTTCCTGCTCTCTTCTCTCCTGTAGTCTCTGCAGCCGACCTGAAGCCGTCTGGGATGCAAACGCTCGAGCATGTGGCCGTTACCGTGACAATAACCCACCCCTGCCGTGGGAACGTGGAGATCGTGCTGGAATGTCCCAGTGGTATGAGTTCTGTCATCGGGGCTCGCAGGCCCATCGACAGGTATACGCCGCGTCTTTCATCGTGTCTGTTTAAAGGCCTTTAGCTCTCGCTGTGTGGAAGGAGCAGAGTGATGTTCGGGTGGATGTAAAGACGTAGTTTTTTTTTTTTCTTTCTACACAGAGATCCTTCCGGCTACCAGGACTGGACCTTCTCCACCGTGCGCTGCTGGGGGGAGAGAGCTGAAGGCCAGTACACCCTCAGGATTTCTGACAGCAGTAAGTCAGCAGGAAAGACACACACATTGCACACACTTCTCCGGTCAGCCTAATATACTGTTGGTCTGGGTTTTATGAGGCTTCTTGTGAATCCAGGTTTCTTAGTTCTCCCTGACCCGTGTCTGTGTTTCTGCAGAAGATGAACAGTCTGATCAGTGCGCCGCCGTGGGAGTGCTGAAGCAGTGGAAGCTCACACTCTACGGTTCATCTATGACTTCCAGCGAAGTGAAGGAGAGGCAAAAGTAAGTCCAGTTTTCCTGCCGGTTTGCCGTCGGTGTCTAAAATCCGACTGGGATGCGGTGATTGTGAGCGCTCAATTGTTTCCCGTTCGCCGGTCTGCAGGCTGGTGGAGGAAGCCATGAGTGGCAAACATCTGGACAGCAGCTTCTCTCTGCCCTGTCCTCCAGGATTAGACATCCCCCCCGAGATCATTAACCCCTTCACCTCCAACAACCTGAAGGTAAACGCAGCTTTCAGGCTCACACTCTCACACCTACCAAAGGTTTACCGTATCTTTGGTGAATTCTGTCCGTCTGAAGACAATTTGCAAGAAAAATTACTTGAAATAAATGATAGAAAAGGGATGCACAGTTTTGTTTGAGTATATAGAAGTTGCAGTCAATCCCATTCGGTATAGAAAAAGTATGGATTGTAATTTTCCAGCTTTCCATGTCTAGAAATGTATGAAAAAAATCAAATAACTTGTAAAAATATTTTTTCTTACTTTGTTCTGCACTTCCTTTCTCCTTCTAGACTGCCTCCCTCACTTCCTTCCTTCCTTCCTTTATTTCCTTTGCTCCTTCCTTCTGAACAATTTCTTCTTTTTGCAGATTACATATTAAAAGGCTCTCTGCTGTAGAAACGTGAACTGTAATATTTCAGATTATGAAACTAACATAAAGAGCCAAAAACTCTGCAAGCTGTTTTTTTTTTTATTGTGTAGGAACCAAGTTTCCATAAACTTGCTTCTGTAGAGTTGTAGAAAATCAGACCTCAGCTTGGCTAAAGGACTTTTTTTTTTTTTTTTTTGCTGGAAATGTTGCAAAAAAAAAAAAAGTCAAGAGATTTTTGTTTTAATTTCAATCACAGCTATGACATGTAGTAATTACCTGCTGACACTACAGCTCATAAACCAATAATGTTCAGAGAACTCTTCTTTCTTTGACATAGTCAGACATTCTGTCTCAACACAGTTATAATCTTCTTTAACATTCATTGAGTTGACAGAATTGTGTGTAGCTACAGCTTTCTATAAACTCTTGTCTTGCTCTACATTTGTAAACAATTATTACTGTTTTTCCATCAGTGAGGGCAGCAGTAACATACCCCTTGATGTCTGAAATGGGGTAAATTTGAGTTAACTGAAATATGTTCCAGATGACGAGTTCAACCACTGTAAACAATACGGTTTATTTGTTAAGGGAAGAAATGTCTCCACTCAGGAAACGCAGTCGGTCTGTTTGGCTGCGTTTGGACAATCTTTACCTTTTTATTGGATTCCTAATAATAAAATTTACTTGAGTAAAATAATAACTTGGTACTTAATTCGCGGTAACGTCTTCTCTTTTTCCCCCCCGCCATCTAGTTCCTGCTTCTGCTCGGATGCTTCGCTCTCTTCTGGTCCGTCTACTACATCTTGGACGTCACGCTCGGTCAGGTGAACCTCAGAGGCCTCCTGTGTCTGCCGAGGAGGCGGAGTCGTCTCAAAACCAGCCACGTTAGCAAAGGCAGAGGAGTGGAGGAGGCGAACGGGTACTGGGACGAATACATCGCAGAGTACAGGGACCAGGAGGACCAGGACTCTGGGGTGGAACTGCAGGCTGTGCTGGACTCAGAGGTCAAAGTTCCTCTCCAGCTGGAGACGTAACAGTGAGCCTAAACGTTTCCTCTTTCTCAGGCTTGTTTTTCTGCTCTGATTGCACTTGCCTCCAACAGCAGTGATGGTACTTAAAGACCGAGCTGCGAATAAATCAAAAAGTAGGTTTCTTACTCCTTCTCTTCTACCACGGTTACTCAAGTGGCCTTGAATGTGTTTGGGCTGTGATTTTACGTCTTCGTTTGTGCACTTCTTCCCGAACGCATCACCTGACCAGGAAAATATGATGTTAAACCACATGGAGCTTCTAAAGCTTTCTTTAAAACTGGGATTCATGAACTGCGGGCGGCTTGTTGGGACTTAACCACCCAGTTTAATGAAACAGGTACATGGTGGGTTGGGAAATTTTCCCCCAAAGGAGAAATTATATTTTCAGATTGAGGCCGAAACGCCTGTGGAGTAAATTAGAGAAAAAGTTGTGTGCAATATTTAAGGGAATGCAAGTTGTGTGTGTGTGCGTGTGTACGCGTGTGTGTGTGTGTGTGTGTGTGTGTGTGAGATGGGAGTATTTGTAATATCCAGGGTCTTCCTTTAAAGTGTTGCTATAATGTGACTTTTCATTCTTGTGTTTTGTTTTGTTTTTTATATCTCTGACCTATTATTTCTTCCAATTTTTAAATCTGGGGGAGGAGGGGTTGTGTTTTTTTTTTTTTTTTTTTTTTATTTTGTAGCTAAGTAAGCAAAATCTGATTAAAACTTGAAGTGGGATTTTTCAAGCTTTGGATTTGCTATATGTATTTTTTTATAAACTGTAATACATCAAGGATTTGTGCCTGCTGAACACATTTGCTGTATATGGACTGCATAATAGGGTTTATACAATTTTTAAAGAATGTATTCAAAGCTGCAGGTGTTTTTATATAACTGAACAAATTTTTTTTGGAGTGTTGCTGTGCAAGTCACAGCTTGTTTAAATGAAAATAAAAAATTAAAAAAACTTGGTGGAGTTATTGCTGCTTTCTTTTATTATTTAGCTTTAAATCCCACTCAATAAATTAATTCAATAAATAATGTTATTTAAATATAGGATACATATTTTTGAGTAATTAATAAATAAAGGGTTTTCATTCAAAAGGTTCTTGTTGCACATTGTAATCAGGGGTCCTATAATATTTTACAGAATGTGTGAAAGAGCATAACTATGTTTTAAGTATTTTCCTCTCCTGAATAAGAGTATAGAAAAACACTTTGGGGATATCTGGATTTTATTCCCTTTGTGTTAAATATGTGAATTTTCAGAAATTATCTGGTTTTACAAGATTTTTTTACTATGTTTGCCTGAGAAGTTTCTCCATCTACCATGTGATGTTTTATTGTCAAAAACAGAAATGGTGCAGGCACTCACAGATAGTAGAGCAAACCAAGGATTTTCACCAAAAGCACATTGGAAAAACTATTTAGTTGTTTTCCTTTTTGTCTCTCTAATTTATTGATTAGTTTTAAATGGCTTCGCTAGTTTAGACAAATCTTTATCAGGGCAGAAATATTTTTTAATGTAATCATAAAACTTATTCATCCCCTTAGATGTTTTGTTGCTTTTACAAATCAGTCCTGATCAGCAAAATTTGACTGCTGTGACAAATTTACCAAAAAAAAAAAAAAAAACTTTGTCAAAGTGACAAAAATGACGAGTACACAAAAAAAGTATATGTACTCGTCACGGGACCAAAAAATAAAGACGATTGAAAATAAAAATCATTAAATAAGTGAATGCAGACATTTAGTAGATACGTATTTGACCACAATCACAGTAGTCCGTATGGATAGATGATGATAATAAAATAATAGATGAACACATGAAATCCAGATCTGGTATTTTTTTTTGTACAGCAACACACTAAACATGCATTAAGCACAAACAGCTTGTGTAAGAGTTAAAAACAAACTCAGTCCTACAGTTTATTTAAGTAGACATTTATAAATAAGGCTAAATTAGTTTCCAACTCATCTAGTTTATGCCAGAATATTTTCCTCACACACTAACACCATATAAATAAATAAGTCATGAAATATCTCATAGAATAATATTGAGCAGTATCACAGTGCAATATGTATGCTTAAAGTCCAAGGTTTGTAGTGAAGAAATCCCAACCAGCTGAGAGTTGCACACAATGTTTAGAGAAAGTTTTGTTGAAACTCTTCTAACGACATTAAAAGGCTGACAGTGTTTAAGAACTAAGTGTTTACAGATTCAACAGAAAATACCAGCTGTGAGCCGCTTGGACTCCGTGACCCCTGTCATTCAACAGTCTTTTTTTTTTATTTATTTTTATTTTTTTTACAGTTTTTAAAGACTGCAAGCTTTAACGTTTTGACTGGTTACTGGCCTCATGAACCCACCTCAAGCTCCTGGCGAAGGCGGTTCTTCCCTCAAACCCAAATCAAAGTCGGTGCTAAGAAAGAACCGTTTTGTTGTCGTTAGAGCCGGAAACACAAAGAGCTGCTGCTAATACTGGCGCTGGAATGAAGGAGGTGATGGTGAAAGCTCCAAGCTAGCGCGTTTTAGTGCCAGAGATGAAATCAGGGGAAGCATAAAAGGCTCAAGAAGAAATTTAAATGGAAACATTCGGGCTGCTGCAACACGGAATAAAACTTTACTGGATGCTGATCAGTTCACCCATTCATCCTCTCATCATTTCTGCCGTTTTGGTTGTTGTGTACTGAGTTTTTCTGGGCATGAAAAGAAGGAGGAGTTTTGCCTGGAGGCATTTGCACCTTTCTCTGAGAACATAGTGTTTTATTGAATTACTGAAAGGCCCAAAGTTACTCAGAATCGTCTTCAGTGGATACTGAGAAGGCTGGCTGTACTAAAGTTTTTATGTTTTATTCATTAGAGCTTTTGGCTTCTGACTGTCATGGGAGGTGACGAGTTTACCTGCTGCAGGTAAACCATCTAAATGGACCATGAAACAGACATTTAGATGGATCTTTACCATCTGTAATGCCAACGAATTTCTAACATATTATGCTGTTTGATCAATTTTGCAAAAAAAAAAAAAATTAAAAGAGATATCAAAACCACAAAGTCTGTAAAGAAAGGTAGATTTATAATTCAAAAAATGAAAGAGTAAAACACGTCAAAGTTAATATTGATCTTTGGGGACAGTCGCACAATACATGTGCTGAATTGCTAAAGTGCAATGATTTGCACAGCCTGACATTTTTGTACTTACAAAACCGAAAAAGTTTTGTACAAACTTTGTGTATAAAACTTTCTATCTCCTGATGTGACCATCAGGAGATGGAAAGAAACCAGGTAGAAAACTATGTGTAAATCCTCACATGAACATTTCTAAACTCTCAATTTCTTTTTCATCTTGCTCAAAACAAAAAAGCCAGTTTAATGTGTCTTTGATGTGGATGCACAATTAAGATTGAACCAGCCACAATCACGATTGTATGTCAAAGTCATTATTTATTAAGACAACGTACAAAACTGTTGGTACTGACACAGCAGGTGTAGCAAAGTAGGAAGTGGCAGTTTACTAAACGATACTAGCAGTAAAAATTAAAGAGTATCTGCACACCCTTTGGTCGTCCTTGTCAATTTGGGAATAGTTTCTTCTAAATCTTCTGTAAACAAACTAATGTTTCTTTCTTAGCAAGTAGAACCAATGTTCTGTAAATGTAGAAAACATGACAAAATGTTAATATTTCAAGAGAAACTAATTGATAAACAATGCACTGTAAAAATCATAAATTGCCTTTTGGTGCACAAGGATTTCTTTGGCTATTGCTGCATCTTAAGACACTCAGATGTAGGGAAAGCATGCCAAGTCCTGCAGTGGTCACCAGAGTAAACTTAAAGGAACCATAAGGCAGGGTTTTGAGACTAAGGAGGTTCCTTGACTCTAAAGCAGAAGGTTAAGACATAAAGGAGCAGTCGGTTATCCAAAGGCTCCTGGAGGATGTCTAGCGCATCTGAGGCTTCAGGGGAAAAGGAGGCTAAGGAGGTTTTGCATGTCTGGACACTTTAAAGGATCTGTCGGGGTCGGCCATAGCTCATTCCCTCCTGACTGGCCCCCTTATTGGACCCCATCTGCAACCCGATCACATTTTTCCCAGCCTTCAGCTGCTCGTCGCTGAAATCTCGCTTGTTCTCTTGTGCTTTCCTGCAATACAGCATCCAGAAATGTCACACATTTAAAATGAAAGGAATTGTGTTTACTGTTTATTTTTTCTTTCTTGTTTGATGCAGTTTGTTTTACTGGACTCACTTGAAGAACCAGTTAGGGTCTCCGTTGTATGTGCCTTCCTCCTTGGTGACGGCCAAGCTGCCTAAAGCCGACAGGGTCCGCTGAACCGCTGCCAAGTCCTTACCTGTACCAGCACACAATGTTTAGGTTAAAGTACCAATCATTTACTGAAGACTGGTCTGCTTCCACCACAGCAACACATTCTAACCTTCCCATAGGTCCACGGTCTGGAACATGTCAGTCTTGGTGACGCCGTACTTCTCTGCAGCGTTGAGGAACTGCGAGATCTGCTCCATTTGTTTGAAGGCCATTGGCGAGCTCTGGATCTTCTTTATCGGTTTGTCTCCGGGAAACAAACTATTAATAAGTTCACTCAGGACCTGACAGGGGGACATGAAACAAAGAGAGGTTTGTATTATGGAATGCTCTTCTAAAAGCAGCGTGTCAAACAGGGTCGACTAACTCACGCATCCGTCCTTCAGCCAGGCCTGGAAGCCCAATTTGCCGGCCTCTGGCCTCCCCACACCGGAGCCACACTGACGGCTGATCCACTCCACCAGGATCTGCTCCAGCTCGGGGTCATACTTGCTGTCGATCTTATCCTGAACCTGCCGGCTCATGCCGTAGGATGGACCTTTGTTAGCCATGCCGACACTCTGGAAAATGAGAAGTGGATACGATAGATCTGCGTTAGCGTACTTACTGCTGGTCGGGCAGTGATGTTCCACATTTCAATGCTTTTGGTCTAAAGTGGATGTTTATAGACAGTTCTATTTAAACTATAGGACTATGCAAACTATGGCGTTTGCATAGTTTAAATGGAGCCCAAAGGAGACACCCCACTGCTAACATGAAAACCCTCTTACAAAAACAACTAGACATGAGACCAGGTCTTAGTGTTGCAAGTGAATTAAGTCTGAAGTCTTTCCTCCTAAGTCTCGAGTCAAATCTCAAGTTGAGTCTATATAAATAAACTGTGCTTGTCTCCAATCATAAGCATTGAATTTCAAGTCTGAACAAGACATTTGAAAGAAAATGCAATCTAAGTAAAATCATTTCTCTAAAGCCTTAAGAAAAGTAGTTTTTCAGGTTCTATAAAATAATATGAGGAGTTTGTAAAAAAAAAAGTACTTTGCAATTAGCAATTTAGGCATTATTGGGTGCATGTTCCTAAGTTAAGTATCACAGACAGATATAGTGTACACCACTTGGCTGTGTGGCAGCTTTGTTACAAAACCCTGCTAGTAGCCTACAACATGATAAAGTCAGAGTCAAGTTGTTCTGTAATTATTTCATTCTTTCAATTTGTGACTTCATGGCTTGGCTCCACATGTGACTCCAGTGCATCCCTCTGAGACTTACCTGTCTCCTCACAATGAATACATACAGTGTACAAAATTCACCAGCACAAACAGTGACCACATGCTAGTCAGAAGCGTGTAGATAAGTGTAGCTGCTCATCAGCTCTGTTTGAATATT